GGAGAAAGATTAGAGAGTACTAAAATTTTTCTTTGTTTCAAAATTTTTTTCAAATTGGTAACTTTCAAAGCTGTGTTTTAGAAGAAGTGTGCAAAAAAAAACGTTTGCTCCTTCCCTACTTCGTTTAGTATTTCTAATTTCAGGGTACATATTTGGAAATGATTGATAATGAAAGCGAAGAATTAAATGAATTGGTATGATTTTTGAATTTACCATGTCTTAGCTTGAAGAACAGATACTTGTAGAACATTTATTATAAAATTAAAAGCGGATTAATTTGTTCCTGCTGCAGGCCTGTTAATTTAGAGAAGTTTCACTAATTTATAGTATAAGTAAAGCTTGAAACTCTATTCTTTTTTCTTAGAACTTTTCAAAAGTTGCTTTATAACACTGAAATTCTGATTGAAGATAGGAGACGAACTCTCTCATGCGCAACAAATATCCGGGAATTCAGTTGAGGAACGTCTGAAACATCTGCATAAGGTAATGAAATTCAAGATTTGTTTTTGGCATGTCAAACTACATAAATTATTTTTCTTCCAAGTACAGTGAGATTTTCTAAAATTATTGAGCGAGTACTGGGGCGTTCATTTGTTTGCCGTAGTAGATCTAGATTCTGAATTTTTATTTTAGGCACAAGAACTCTTGCTATACCGGGACGGTAGTGGTTCATTACTGGACAACTTTTTAGACGAAATGCTGGAATTTGCCCTGGAAAATGACGTCAAAATCCGTTGTTTTGTCGCTACTTTTATCGATAAAGCTTGGTTTGATTTAGATCATTTTGAGCAATGAGTTGTTAGTTGGTTGTTTACCGTCGTACAATGGTAACAAGCCTTTCATTAGTGGTTGGTTTTTGGTACGAAACGGTTACGGAAAATTTTCTGTTATATCGAAATTAATTTTTGGCGACTGAGCTAAATGGACTCTGAAACGTAATTTCCTGAAGTATACGCTAGTGTACTTCGCAATATTTTAATACCAACCTTGAAATAGTTACTTTTGTAACTGGAACTAATTTAGTTGTTAACTTGTTTATACGCAGCGGGACTGAATAAAATACTTCCTTTCCTCAAAAGATATTTTTTTTTTGCATTTTTTTTCTCTATTTCCAGTTTTTGGTATTTTCAGCAGAAAGGACTGTGATATCATGAAAAAAGCAGTCGTAACATTATCTTATCTTCTTGAAGCAAATGCCGACAGAGGAGTTTCAGTCGTAAAAAAGGTCTGCTTAGTTGTTCGTATTTAGAAAGAGATTTGTCTTTATGACTTTAGAATCATGAGTTTAAGCAGAACTTTTCTTTTAGCTGAGATAAACTTTTTAGGTCATACAGGTTTGTTGTCAGCTTTATTCACTCATTCTAAAGTGGGCCTGTAATTCAAGAAGCGTGGATGTAGAACGTTGCTGGGAAGCATTTTCAGTTATAAAAGGTCGTATAATGCGTAATATCGATTCTGACAATGAAGGGTAGGCCTTTAAAGTCTCGTGTATTTACAGGTTTATTTGTAAAAATAGTTTTAGGTATATGATTCGTTATTATCTTATTGAACTTAAGCGGTCTGTAACTTTTTTTTCTATATAAGTCGGTTACAAGTCTTGTTCATGAATTTCGTTAAAAAACTGCCTCTTTCGTGATTTGTTGCTAACGCGTCAATTTAATAACAGTTCCCTCTGTTCGTGGGACATAAGATGGGTTATGACGAAATTAGAAAAATTGATGATTAATGTTTACATAACTACGAATAATTGGAAAAGTCGACGGCGTTTATTACATGTAGTTAAAAAAATAAATGCTTGTTAACTAGGTCACTGTTTAAGGCTGTTTTTGGTTCAGTTACTGACTTCTTTCATTAATTTTATGTCTTTGACAATTTTTTATATTTTTAGAATTAGAACTCAGACTATTAAATTTCTGGAGGCCGTTGTTCTTGCTCAGTCACTTAAAACCGAGGTATATTTACTTGAGGCAAAGATTGCAATACTTTTTATGAGGGTATCTGGCTTTTGAAATATATCTTTTTTGGGAAGGAAGCTGTCTAGTCTGTTTAATATGTTTTTCAGGAAAGCGAAAAAGGAAGAGGAGATAATAATTTGATGTGTTTAAATGAAATTTCAAGACAACACAGATTTATCTCGTACAGGAAAATGGAAAGTGAGGCGCAGCTTAATTTTAACTCACTTCTTGAGCAATTAGCATCACCACATATATCTTCGTTAAACTTATTGACCTGCTTGTCTTGCGTTTGTAGCGTAGCTCAGCAGAGACCGCAGTTTATGCCTCGAGTTATCGGTTTGTTCATCTCTTGGTTCGATTGCTTTTTTTCAAAGATGCATTTTGGTTAGCTGACGCTTGATGTATGGATGTTCTGAAAATTATTTTAATGAGAATTTTAGCGGCACTCGAGTCTCTTCATGTCAATTTGCCGCCAACGTTGGCGATGAATCAAGTAAAGAGCGTCAGAAAAGAGTTGAAGATGCATTTACTTCGTTTTTTACGGCATCCTACCAGTGTGCCTCATCATCAGAGATTAACGACTCTTTTAACCGAACTTGGAGCTGGTCAATCGGTTTGAAATTATGCTTCTTGAATTTGTACAGAATAAGAATTGCTTTGACATTACTTGTAAACTCTATCAATTTTTAAGTGAGTTGTTAAGGATTTAAAAATGTCTATTTTAAGGAGATTATGCGTGCTTTACCTGCTACCAGTGAATTGCGTAGAAAAGCCAGTCAGCGTCACATTGATTCCAGTGAAGAGCCGGATAAGAAACGGCAGAAAGTTTGTTTCGTTAACTGATATTGGCATGTAGAAGCTCTTACTTTTTGCTTCGTCTTTTTTTAATCAAAAACTTTTTGGATGGATGTCGAAGATACTTCTTCAAAAGCTGAGAAAGACGATGGTGGTGATATTGGGGCGGGAGTGGATGATAGTAAATCACAAGTGGCTATCAATATTACGGCTCAGTTTGTTTATGAGAGGCTGACTCCTAGCGTCGCTACGGATCTTGTTATGGTGTCACTAGTATGTTTTGGATTTGTTTAGTGGAAACACTTATTAAGTTGAAGATTCTGATCTGATGCAAGATTATCATAGTTTCTCTGCTTTCTTCTCGCCTTCTAATTAATGCAGTTAGGTGATATTTAGATGGCTCTGCCAGATGAAATTCCAGCAGCATTCCAAGATAATTATATTCCTGTTTCTGCTGCTGGGACAGAGAGTCAAATAAGAAATCTCTCTGTTTTAATTGCTACGCAAATGACTAGTATGGAACTTGGGCCTGGCATAGAAAAAGTACGTGCTGAAAGGCAACAACTTTTATCTGGTAAGAGACTTAAATTGTGATGAAGTTTGTTAAATATCAAAAGTTTTTACAACATTGATTGTATTTCTTTGTTTATAATGAAAACTTTACTAGCACGGAAAGCAAACAAAACTGATGGAGCGTCGGTCCTTTCTGCAGCGCACGATACCGTGTCTTCCTCTGCAGCTAATGATAAGTCTCAAGGATCACAGTCGGCCGTAAGATTTTTTACTTCTTTTTTTTCTAGAAATAAACAGAAAACAAATACAAAATTTTAGAACGCCTAACAATATAAGTATTATTTTCACTGATTGGAGTTTTTGAGAAGGCATAGTTAAAAAAGCTCTTATGCAAAAGACTTTTGTAGAGTCGACGAAGTTGTGTAACCTCGGGTTAATTCGATTGGGTGAACTTTTATAATTATTAGTGGAAACTTGATAATTATTAGTTTAATAGACTTAATTAAGCCACAGGACTAATTCTAGGCTTTGCTGTCGAAGGCGAAACCGAAAATCCAGTTTGGTCTTCTTTCTATAACAAGGGAGTTTGAAAGTCCAGATGATTTGAATCTTACTTTCTTGACTTTTAGAAGGATCCTCGCTAATGAAAGTTAGCTGACATTAACGAGTTTATTTCGGTTTATTTCGTTATCATTCTTTCAAAAATGTGAAAAATCTGCAAGTTAGCACGGTCTTTGCGTAAATGCGTTTTGAAAATCATAGTTTATTATTGAAAAATATACTCTGGTGAAAAAGAAAAAAGTTTTTGATTTTGAAGTGGGTCATCAATTCATTTTATGCTGGCAGTTGAATTGTTTAGAACGCTCTATACAAGGCGGGTTTGGTGTGGCACAGCAGAAATTGTTGGTGAGATTAGTAACTCGTTTTCAATACGAATCGGTAACTGGGCTTGAAGATCTTATGATTGAGCATATCATTCAAGATCAAAAAGCACGCACTGAGTTGGCACTTTTGTGGATTGCTGAATTATATTCGCAGCTTCGGGGGTTTGCCTTTTTTTGTAAAGAACAAGTTTTTTTTGGCAGAAAAGTACAGCAATTATTTGGTTTTGGAAGTTGGAGCAAATTATGCATTAAATAGAAAAAAATTAACTTTGAAAGTTTATTTTTTTCAGAAGTTACTAAATGTTTATAAAATTTGTTTTACTGTTTAGGTTCACCGTATGTAGAACATCATATACTGATGATGGTCAGCTCTCTGAAGACCAACGCTATGAGCGTTACGATTCCGTATTGTGTAAAATTCTAGAAAGTCTTCACAAACAAGGAGGGCATAAAGAAACGTACGCTTATTAAAAAGTACCTTTAATTATTAAGAAGACATGAATTTCCTAATTTTTTAACTCAGTTTAGGGTTTTTTGGCAGGATAAGTAATTTAGTCAAGAATTTTCTATACTGCTTCTTTAAGATTGTTCCACAAAATCCTTTTGGAAGCCCCTCTGTTAACTCCACATGCTTTAGACTGGTTGCGGACTGCATGTCTTGATGAAGTAGGGTTTTAATTTTTTGCTAAATTTTTTCTATTTATATACATCACTTCTTTTTCTATTATTTTGATTTAACAGTGGAAGTCAGCTTGTGTTATGTGTCATATAAGCTCAAAAGTTATAAATTTTATTCTTTTTGTAGGGTTTCAGTGCATTTGGAATGACTACACTTCGAGAGCTCATTTTGACGAGGACAAGGCAGCGATTTGAACTCTTGTCTTTGCTACTAGATTTTTCTTATAGCAGCAGGAATGATGTACGCTTTGAAAGTGTTGAAATTGCTAAGGAGCTGTATCAGATCAGTTACGTGAGGTAGCTTTAATAATTTTATTCTTCCTGACAAAATTTTGTCATTTTTTTATTTTTTAAAAGTTATAAAAAACTATTAAAGCTACAAATTTTATTTGTGCAGAAAGGTTTTTGAGACTCGCTCTTATTGGTAAGGCTTAGGTGTCTTCAGTCTTATCGGTCTACAATGACGATTTATTTTTCGTTACAGGAAAGACGTCCGAGACTATTTGGTTAATTCATTGGAACACTTCAATGAACCTGTGCCTCCTCTTCATATCTGTGCAAACCTTGCTGAAGAAGCTGCTCCACAATGGAATGATTTAACCATTCGCACTTCATTGAATCTCTTTCTATCTATCTTACCATTAGATCACCCTTTAATTCATAATTTGGCAAAAACCTATGCCACTGCTTCTAATGACATCAAACGAGTAAGTCGCAGAACTTGCTTTCGTAATTCATTTATGCTATTGTTTCTTTCAAGGTCTAGGTCTCTGCAATTATTCTCTTGAGTGTCACTTGTTCTTGCAGGTTATTTTACGTGCTATTGACAGTGCTGTAAAAACAATTGGCGCGACAAGCAACGAACTTCTGGATATGATTGAAAAGTGTCCTCCGGGTGCTGAAACATTAGCCGCTAGGATAGTTCACCTGCTGACTGAAAGAAGTGCTGTTAATTATTTTGTTTTTCTCTGTTGTTTTTTAAAAGTGCTTAGAATCAGAGCTAGTGGTTTTAGAAGTCAGCCGAAAAGAAGTAAAAAACGGTTTGGAAGTGTATAAGATTTAAAAAAGACAGGATTTGAAGTACGTGATCACTTTGTTTTGCAGATCCTCCAACACATGAGCTGGTTGAGCGTATTATTGCTCTTTATAATCAAGGACGTACCGACGTTAGGTCTATGATTCCTGTGCTCAGTGGTTTAGAAAAGGTAGGCTTATAATCTGAACGATTTGTCTTTTCAGTCATTATTATATTTTGGAACCAAATTTTCCTTTCAGGATCAGATCTTGAAAATTTTACCGAACTTTATCTTGAATGCTGTCAATCAGAAATCTATACCAAGCGTTTTTCATAAGCTGCTTGCTGGCAAAAGTTAGTTTTGTATTTTATGCTTATCTTTGCAGAAGATGTTTTGCGCTGGTGGCGAGTCTGAATTAAACAATTGAAAAATTCTCATTTTTGAATTGGTGGTTTGTACTTTTGATTTTTTTTATATTTTCTGACTGAAATTCTGTTAAAGATATCAAGACTGGACAACATCCTATGGGGGCAAGTGAACTTTTGGTAGCTGTGCATCGCATAAAGGCCACCAACACGGAGGAAACTAATTTACTTCTACAAAGTTTGTACTTGTTTCTACAATTATTTCTCTAGTTATATACCAAATTTTGCGTTACCTATGGCTAATCGCCGCAGTTGTGATTCTCGCTTTTACTCCTTCTATTTTCAAAATAAATCTATGATTACTAGATTTATATAATATTGTTAATTATAGATATAGAACTCCTGCTTAATCAGCTGTCACATTCAAAGGAAGCAATTGCGTCGGCCATCGACACTCTCATTGATGACACAGAATTACCAGTTACGGTGTTCCATACCGTTGCTCGAACTCATGAGTCTTATCCCGTATTAGGTGGCTTTATTTCCAATGTAATAATAAAAATAGTGCAGAAACAGCCATGGAAGTACGACGGGTCGTTGTGGCAACACTTTGTACGGTGCGCCATCGCAACCATACCCCATTCCTATATGGTGATAATTTTTATTTTTTCGTGTTTTTGAATCTGCTATTTTTCACTTCTTTAATGTTTTTTATTTACACTTATCGTGAAGAAAATATTTTTAGGCTTTGTTGACGGGTTTGAGCAAAGAAGAATTTATGGATTTTATCAAGGAAGCTGGAGAAGATAGAACAATGATCATAAAACGTTTAAGGGACTATATACCGACAATGTCTGTACACCAGCAAAAAAAGATTGATCGCGGTGTACGGGATGTAATATTAGGGAATTAGGTTTGCTTAGCTTTTACTTTAGTAAGGGAGAGATCGATTTGAAAGAATAATGTTTATTTGTGGCGATCTTCTTGCGCACATATCTTCACTTTTTCGCTGTGTTGTCACTGTATCTAAGTGCGTAAAGATTTTGACTTGTTCCTGGAGCCAGTCGCTGCTTATACAGTCTCGCAATAGTGCCACTATAACTAACTATCGGGAACTTGAGATACTGATCTCAATTTAGCTGTATATATGATGAACCACGGATCTTCTCTTATGTATAAATGTACGTCCAGATAATAAAAAATTTGTTTTTCATTTTGTGTAAGAGGTTACTTTCTGTTTGATGTCGCTAGTCTCATTTGGTATCTGTTGGTTCTTGTGTGTAGATTCAAAGTTATTCCCTGTTATTTTAAATTGTTATTTTTTGTATGTCGCTGGTATTGTTGTTTCGTAGGATACATAAGTTACTAACCAGGGGCAGCAATTATGTAATCATTACAGTTTATTTCAAATTCTTGTAGTTGATATATCAAATTGTTTTTTATCTTACAGTCAAATGTTATTTGTTTTGACAGTGAGGCTTCCATTTACTTATTGCAGTTCTTGCGGTTCTTCTGTTACTAATGGAGGGAAAGGTCTTGGTTTAGTAAAGGTTTTTTCTTGTTAGGTCTTGGTCCAACCTGAAATTGCTAGTGACGGTTTTTTAGATGGCCTCGTTAATTTTGCAGAGCGGGGTAGTTGTTTGCTTAATTGATGTATTTTAACCAGTGTCAAAAGCCACTTTGCAGTTCTGTTGGTTCATATGGTTGTTCCGAAACCGTTGTTTATTCATTATGGGTTGAGTGGTGGTTCTTGCTGTTCATGCATTTTTGAAACTGCGGGATCAAATTATTTGGTTGTGGGGACGGTTTCTGGTACCTGCAAACTTTATTCAACTTCCACTCATTTGGAGCTGCTTAAAATTTACGGTCAGTATTATAACTTATACTGGAATTTTAGAAGTGGTTTCTTGTGCTTGTCATTTTTCTTTTATCGTAAATGGACTGTTGCTTTGTTCTCTGTAATTATATTAGTCCATTACTTTGAAGTGTCTTTTGTAACTTCTGATATTGTAGAGACACTTAAATCACGATTTAATAGAACTTTCATCTTAACCTTGCAGTTAAAGTGTTCCAAGTATGACGTTAATTTGGGAGTGGACATCTTACCGTCAGAAAAGTTTTGAAAAAGAATACTAGTGTTGACAGTTGGGAGCATTTAGTTGTAGCCTTAACGGGGATTTAGTTTGCTTTCCTTTAATGGTTAAAGTTTGTTCGAGTGTTAATGCAAGGTAGTGGGGGAGTTTATGCATTAAAAAACTTCAATGCACTTTTATTTGGTAAGGTATCAAACCGCGATATCTTAGATTTTTTAAGCAGCGATTTGAGCCGCTGTAGAAATTGTAATCTTATTTGTTTATTTCAGTAATCAGGAAGAAGTAAACTTGTTTCTAGATGATAATGAGAATAGGTCGGTAATAGCGGTGGGTCAAATTAAGCCGCATCATTTATTCATTCATATCCGGTCACATGCAGTTCATCTCTTGAAGTTCTCAGGAGAGGCAAGGGTTTTGTAGAATTTTGGTTTCTTTTCCAGCTCGAATATTCTTTTTGAAGGTATTTGATTTTGAATTTATACCATTCAGGGGCTTAAATTTGAGACTGAAAAGGTGATTTCGACGAAGCATTACGGATTTTGCCGTTCGATAAGTTGCAATGGGGTTGTGTACATTCCTTTCTACGAAGTAGGTGGTCATTTTTTTGATGTTTTAACAATTGACAAAATTTTAAAACTAAACCTTGATTTTATGGTAATGTATTTGTTGAAGCACAAATGATGCTTTTGCTTTTTTACTTATAGGCTTAAAGGCTGAGAAGAGCCTTTTGAGGTTTATGGTGAAAGAGGTAGTCTTATCACCTAAAGTAAGAGACGAAGCGAAAAGAGTATTTGATCTGCGTATGCATTCATTAAATATAGAATTCATTTTCTCTTCAGAATTCTGCTAATAGCGTTTGCATCATTGACCAGTCTTATCACGAAGAGAAAGTGAATGTTTTTTCTGAGGGATGTAAAAATCAACCAATGCTAATGCTTATCGACGTCATCAGTTCTACCGCTGATGAACAAAAGTTTCTAGCATGTTGTTTTGAGAATGGTACTATAACAGTTGTTGACGTTAGAGAATCCTCAACTATTTTATCTGTAAGCGTTCGGCTATGTTGCTTTGTTTCTTTATTTTTCCTGAAAAAATTATTTAAACTGGATATTTCTAGGCTAGATTTTGAGTTGTAACAACTTCATAGCCTAACAAGTGGCATGGTTTTTGATTTGCCTTTAGTCTTTCTCAATAATGCCATGTTTAGGTAACAGCATTCACTGAAACAGTGTTTTCTTGTGCTGTGTTTAGCCAGCTCTTAGCAGCTGGATCGGTAAAAAATTTTGTTAAACTGTATCGCTTTGAACCACCTCAGTTGGTTGAGGAGAAGCAAATTTTATTCCCCGCCGAGTAAGTGCCCTTTCATGGTTAGAATTTTTATTCGACGTTAATGAAGCTATGGTGGCCATCAAAAGCTTACTTATTTCACAGAAAAATTTTGAAAGTCAGGAATTTTCATAAGTGCATTTTTATTTCAAATTTTTTTTAGAGCTGGAGGCTGCGCGTCGCTTTGTTTTTCCCCATGTGGAAAATTTATGGCTTCAAGTTACTGGGATGGAACAATTCGTATACACTCAGTGAAGTCGTCGAAAGTTTTAGCAGTTATTGATTTTCACAAAAATACAGTCGATTATTTAGACTGGCACATTGTAAACGGCGAGAAGTTGTTGTTTGCGAATTGCAAGGATGGATCTTTGTCGATATGGAACCTTCTGAAGTGTTGAAATTTATAGAGGAGAAAATTATCTGTATTTCAAGCAGTTCTGAGCTTTATTCACCAATATATAAATATCAACTTTGAGGCTATCAATACCAGTTGACAAGAACGGTTAGGACTTTAGCTGTAAACATTGGCTTTAAGTCGCGTAAGTTATATAATAACATTTGATCAACATTGCAAAATTTGAATTTAGTAGAAAGACTCTTGAATATAATTTGTATATCATAAAATATTTACGATAAACAGAATATTCTAATACGTCTTTTCTTTAAAATGCGTTTTGTTCCACTCAGATTGGAAGCAGCTCAAAGTTAGGTGTTTCTTGCGTAATGTTGAAGTGTGTTGGGGAGGATTTTAGCTGAAATCTCAAGCAACAAATGAAGATTAAGCTTGTTTAGGTTGTTGCAGTATCTAAACAAGTGGGTAAATAAAATAAAATAGTCATAATGCTTAAGATGTTCATTATTAGCATTAAATAAACAGATTCTTTCACCGAAATAAAATGTTTGTTTGTATCTTTTTAGTGCTCTCAAATAATGTTTGTTCACTTTTTTCTTAATACTTGTTTCCGGTCAGTCAGCTTCTTTCATAACGGTCTATAGTCCTTGTAACATTTGGGACTTTTGACCAGTTACTTAGCTCACTAAATTCCTAATTATGATTTGTTGCATTGTTAACACGTAATGTTTAACATGGCTTGCTTTAAATCTTTATGGTTTTGTACCGCTGAACACTGTACAGTTTTAATTCTCTTTCCTCAATAAACTGAGGAATATAAAATTTTTTTATTTTGATTTTCTTTTTGAAATAAAGTTTTTTGCAAATTCTGGTTTTTCTGCTCTTTACTGCTCCTTATTCGCCAGTTTCTTTCGAGAGGTCCACTCAACAAAATTTGTTTAAGGACAACGGAATTCAGAAACAGTTTCAAAGTTTCACGTGAGTGGGTCAAGAAAGTTTTGAGGGGCTGATCGCTTTTCGTTTCTCGATAAGTAAACTTGCCTTGATAACTTTTTATGTAGTACCGTAAAAGAAAATAAAGTGAGGAGGCGCTTTGTAAAACGTCGCCTCAATGAAATTTTCTAGCTACCCAACTGAAGATTTGCTGGCTGCTCGCTTTGATGCTTATGAATACGGTAGCACATCTTCTTGCACTTTGTATTAACACCA